GTTTTGGCGGGCTTATAAAATATAGTTACTATAAAAAATGGTTAAATAAATAAGTGGGTATTATTACTGGGAATCTTTTGAAGAGAAACAGAGTTTTATGACCGAAAACTATTGATTTTCAGGAATTCTATACCATTTCTACGAAAAATTGTTTTTTCCCCAAATAAAATACATGGAAAACTTTGAGCGCTTTAAGCGACTCTAAATATTTTTTGATTTCAAAATAAAAAACAGGGGTAAATTTTTTCGGTATAGAACAATCCTCGGGGGTGAGAGCATAAAAATTCCGACTTTACTTTTCCACTTGCATTTTGGACCATCCTAATGTACATATTTTGAGAAAATGTATTTTATAATCGCCCTTGACCTCCCAAATAAAACAAACGATTTAAACAATTCGCTAAATATGTTTATAAATACATAAGTATGTGAGTTCTTTTTTTAAATTTTTTCGAATTACAAATCTCTTAAAAACAGCAAATATCAAATACAATCGATATTTTATTAAGTTTATTCATTTTTCGCGGTAAACGCGTATATATATATGAATGTGCGTCAGATATTTCCGTATCGATCGGTTATGTCGAAATTTTTTAGTTATGCGATTTTTTTTATATATTCACTTAAAAGCAAATATAAGTTCTGTATCAGACAATAACAAAAAGTATATCAAAATAAGAAAAAGCTTTATAATTAAAATGCATACATATTTTTAGGTATACTATTTAATACTAATGCACAATAAAAGCAGCGAACTCAGAGCGTTTGGCCTTTAAACTCTAATAAAAAATAAAATAATTTAAATGCTATACAAAATGTACAAATGCGAGCGAGTGTATGGATAATATGTAAGTTTTTGTAAAAACGTTCTATCGTTGTTTATTTAAGTATAATTTTTAAATGTGGCTTCAAGTATGTAGAAAGTAAAAATATACTGTAGGCATATTGACATTTAACAGTTAACAAAATGCTCAGTAAAATTTGAATAACTTTTTAATTTAATACATTTTCCTACTATAGAATTTTTTGCTCTATTCAACCAATGAAATTGTATTTTCCATATTTCTTCAGTATATTTAAATTCAGATCTACCAAATGTTTTAGATTTATTTTATGGCAACGAACTGCACAAGTCTTCAACAGCCAACAGCCGAAATCAGCTCCCTTTACTTATTGAAGTTGTCGATTTGTTGCAACACCCAACTGCGCGACGCTGCGGCGCTCATGTGTGGCGGACAAATTACAACGCTGCTCGGCTTACCGCCAAGGCAGTGCGCCTCAGCCGCACTCAACGGCGATGGTGGCATCTCCTTGCGCGGCGATGTCTTGCTGATGTTCACGCGCGGTATACCAGTCGGCTTTGGTGGCACTTCGGGGTTGGTGCGATTACGTGCGGGTGGCGGTGGTGGAGGTGGACTGTTGGGTCGCTTGACGCCATCGCCCAATTCATAGTCTGTGCGTTTTTCATTGTCATCGCTGTAGATAGCCGAGTCTCGGAAATCATTCTCCAGGCAGGCTTCGACGTTATCCTCGTACACAAAGTCAGAGTTAGCGCCATCACTGCTGGGCGCTGTACCAGCGGCGCGCTTGTGATCGCACATGCTGTCATTGGATGAAGTGAGCGAGAACACCGAGTCGCGTTGCAACGATGCGTCAGAAGTGGCGACGCTTACGGTGAATAGCGTGCGCGGGTCTGCGTAATCAACGTGCGCCATGCGCTCACCCACCGCTTCGCTACCCTGTCGATGCAATATGCTCTGCCGACACATTTCCGTTACATCGGAGACGCGTCGCTCGGGCGGCTTGTTTGATCGTCCAAAACTGAGCGCAATATTGTCGATGGATTTACGCGCGCGCGGCAGCAATGAATTATGCGAGGAGGATATATTTTCGTGAGCGCATTTGTTAGCCAAGCCGAGTGTGGTAGCGCTATGGGCGCCGGTGCTGAAGAGGCGCTTCATTAAGTTCTTTGGTATGGGGCGCGCATAAATAGCTTCGCTGTTGGAGTTGCAAGTCGTATAAGAGATCATTGATATATTGCCTGCCGAAGAGCAATCAACATTAATAACAGTGCTCTGACTGTCGCGTTTTAGCGTGCACGTAGAAGAGGAGGAGGTGGAGGTGGAGGTGGACGAACTCGTGCTGTCACGTTGTTCTTGTGCCGCGTCCGGGATGTCGCGACGCAGTTGTGTCTCGCCACAGCTAGCACGCTCCGCGACCACCTCGCCACCCACTTGCTGTAGTGCGCCCTCTGGTGAGTACACCAATGTAACATAGTCCGACTCGGGACGTGGCGCCGGCGGTGCTTTCTTTTCACGCGGCTTACAGTGCTGCGCTGACTTGGAGCGCGCCATCACCGGTGAGAACTTGTAAGGAACGTGTACGTTGCGCAGCAGTGACTCGTAAATTGGCTCCTCATCTTCTTCAACCGGCGTTGTAGGAGTCGCATCATTGGCCATGGCACGTCTGCTCTCAGGCTCGAGTGGTGGTGGTGAGCGCGATGGCGGACGTGGCGGCAACTCATTAATCAATGGATAGTCAGACGACTCAGGGCTACCTGCTGCGCTACCGCTGCCGCTTCCGCTACCGCTGCCACTACCGGCGCCTATGCCATGTTCGGCCGCACGCTTGCGCTGCTGTTTTTTCTTCGCCATGCGCTCGAACTCTTTATTCTGTTTCAACAAATCCAATATAATGTCGGCATCTTTCTTCTTCAGCGTTGACAGCAGCTCCTCGCACTGCTTTTCCAACTGCATTTGTATGCTGTCCAGATTTTGCGTCACCGTTTGAACATCCTTCTGTTCGCTCACGTGTAACTTCTTATCCTCCACTTGCAGATTCTCCGTGGACTCGGTGATCTTGAGCTCTGTTTTGGGCGCATCATCGAACTCACTTAGATCCATGTAGAACTTGCACGTCTCCTTAGTTTTGCCGGTGCGCTGCTTCTTCAGCGTTGCTATGCGCTTCGGTATAGTTTTGTTGTTGTATTGCTTCACCTCAATCGACTTGCTGGACTTGGATTTTCGCGTGTCAAGATTTGTGTTGCTACCATGCAGTGACTCGTGTTCTTCATCTAATTCCTCGCATTGGAAACTGATGCGCGGCACCGACTTGCTGCGCTCTTTTAATGCCTTCAAGCCGAATAGCGGTGACTTGGGTGAGGCGCAAGCGTTGCGACGTTGGTCGCGTAAGATGCACGAGGTTCGCTCCTCCTTGTCCGCAGCATCATTTTCCGGCTTCAGTTCCGTCACGCTGCCAGCGTTTTCTGCCTTCATTGTGCTCACTGATCCGTTACCTTCGTCTGACTTGCCTTTGTTCTTGATAGCCGCCGCGAGTTTGTGCAGCGCTGGCAACATATTGTCGTCAATGCTGTTGGTACGCGTCAGTGATTTGGTCGATTTGGCGCCGTTTGCCACATCGCTAGCTGTTGTTTTGGTCGGCGACTCGCTTGCCTGGTTTTCGGCAATCTCATTGAAACTATCAAAGGACGTTGAATTGGAAACAGTCTTCCGCTTGAATTTCGAGCGATTGCGTATCTCGCTGCGTCGATACTGATTGCGCCGCTCCAAGTACACGGGTGTCGTCGAGGTCGAGTGCAGACTCCATTTCCAGGTATTCTTATCCGGAGTGCGGTCTGTAAGGAAGAAATGGAAGAGATTTTTAATTTTTTATCTTCGTATAGTTTCTAAAATAAGAAAAGACAATAAAAATGTCATGGCAACTCAAAATTGCACAGCAAACGCGTAACAAACAGCTTGTTTTAGAAGAAAAAATATTGCAATTTTTTTACTCAGTGCAGTGGATATAGAAAACATTACTTTTGTGTACATGAATTCAGCGACGATGCAGGTGAGACATTTGTATGTACAGAAATAAATATATATATTAAATTTGCAAAATCCAAGTAAGTCGGAAGGATGCTGGTGCAACTGAAAGATCTGGTGGAGTGGTCGGCCAGCGACATAATCAGTACAACCCCTAGCAGTAGCAGCCGTGACTTTAACTTGTGAGAGGAATTCCCAGGACACTGCCATCAGACTAGACTTTTTTTCAGTTTATAATCCTTTTTTAAAGCTACTTTATCTTTTATAAATAAAGCCATTAGCTTTTACTAGTTCAAAATTTTCTTGAGACAATGCAGCTCAGCAAAACCAAAAGCAGCTTCCAATAAATGCGATATGTGATTCAAAATTTATATGTAAATAAAAAATTATAGTATTTCATTATTTCCCTAAATGCCCTCAAAAATTATCCTCCTTTCGGTCTTATGAAATCCCCGAAAATTTTGTTCCGGAAATGTTTTAAACAGAAAAACGAAGCGGATAGGGAGTTTTATAAAACAGCATAGATTCTTGAGTAATACACTTTGTCTAGTAGCAATTAACCCTCACTAGTTCTTAGGGTCAAAATATTCCCCTTTTAAATTTTGCTTCCTATTGTCCTAATTGCCTTGGGTCCGATAAATCCAGTTTTTTTACTTTATTTTTTTCTGCTAAAAAATCAAATTTACTTTACCAAGGCATCATCTGTGCTCATGGCCGACGGAAGAGAAGGACAAGGCGTCCAAGGATCTCTTCTGAGCGCTGTCCCCGCCATGATATCATAATCGTGTTTAGTGACTTCAATGCCAGGGTGCGCAAGGAAAGGACCTTTGGCGCCGCTGTCGGAAAATTCTGCTCCACGACGAAACGTCCGACAACGCACCGAGGCTGATCGACTTCACAGGGGTCCGAAACATAGTAGTATGCAGTACTAAGTTCAAGCATAGAAAGATTGAAAAATGAGAAACCAAATCGATCCAGTGTTTTAGACGTACGTGCACTCCGAGGCCCAAACATCGACTCGGACCACTGTTTGGTTGCAGGTAAGAGACCGCCTCTGTGAAGCAAAAATGTGCGCCTAAAAATACAAGGAAAACTTAACGTCGAAAAGCTGCAATCACAACAGACAGCAAATGCTTTCGATATCCGACTCTCGCATCTGCTCTTAGAGAGCACTCTTCAACCAACCGAAATATGCGAGCAGAGGAATCACATTTCCCGCTCATTAAGTACCGCCGCCAAAGAAACAGTCAGATTTCAGCCAGCCTGAAAGAACAACTGGTACAATGAGGAGTGTCAGGAAGCTGTAGAGAAAAAAGTTGCCACATACAGGACCACGCCGCGTTTGGGCTCTAATCGAGTCATGTGGGACCGTTATAGGGAGATGAAGAGGAAAAGGAGACATATTTGCTGCAGGAAAGACCGATGTCAAGAACGTACTTAAATTGTGGAAGGAACACTTTTTCCACCTACAGAGTGCTAGCAGCACTGAAAGCTGTGGGGCATACGAACCCAAGCCCCCAGTCAATGATGAAGGAGTCGATGCTCCACCACCTGACCCTGACGAGGTACGAATAGCAATAGCGCGCCTGAAAAACAACAAAGCTGCTGGAGCTGACATCGTACGCCGATGATATCGACATCATCGGTAACAAGAACCGCGAAGTCTACAAAGTGCGGCAAGTATTGGCATCTTTAAAAGATTCAAAAAAGCAGTTTAATTTTAGTAATGATGACAACATTGTACAGCGAAGATGATTCAAAATATGTAGCTAAATGAAGGCACTCCCAATATACCCAATTTAGCAGCCCATGAAGTGCTTTGCGTATCCTTTGTGTAAACCTCATGCAATAAATTTTAAGGCAAAAACTATTTTGATATGTTAACTGTTAGTTAATTTCAACAGAACGTGTGCTTCAATGAAGTGAAAATGAGTGATTTTTTAGCAATGCAATGACAGTTAGTAAATTTACAAATTCAGCAAATGTTAATATGCAAGTCCAACACTACATACTTGTACACACCTGTATATACATATGTAGCGAACAAGCAAGCAACAACAATCAACAACACGAACAACATCAAGCTAAGATCAATATATGTGTGTGTACTTACTATACTTTTTTAAATTTAACCCACGAACTGTTGATTTGCACTTTATGCGAATACTTTTTATGTTGTATAAACAAAAATTTTCACTACGACTTTTAACGGTTTTTAGCAGTTACATCTATGTAAATGTTAGTTAATATTGTG